CCCTAATGGAATCTAAATATATTCCAACAGTTGCTGCCTTCATGTGATGTGAATGAAACCTAGGAAAATTGTAAGACTGCTTCTAAAAGTCCTGTCAGAACCTGCTAGAAAGATATAACTACAATAATATTTCTGGTACATTTACAAAACCAAAAGGTCTGTCAAGACACGGAACTAATTCTCAGGAAGAGGTAGAGGTTGGGATGCTTAAAAATAAACACTGCAAAAATGACTTTCTAAAAGATTTTTCCAGGGCTGGGGATGTGGCTCAAGCAGTAGCGCGCTCACCTGGCATGCGTGCGGCCGGGGTTCGATCCTCAGCACCACATACAAACAAAGATGTAGTGTCTGCCGAAAACTAAAAAATAAACATTAAAATTCTCTCTCTCTCTCTCTCTCTCTCTCTCTCTCTCTCTCTCTCTCTCTCTCTCTCAAAAAAAAAGATTTTTCCAAAAAAGATGTATAAATGGTCAGCAAGCAAATGAAAAAGATGCCCAGTGTCATTTGTCCTCAGGAAAACGCACATCAAAACTACAATGAGATGCCACTTCACACTCTCTAGGRTGGCCATAATAATAGAAATTGGGGCCTCAAGCACTGCTGGTGAAAATGTAAAATGGTGCAGCCACTGTGGAAAACAGTTTGACAGTTCTTCAAAAAATGACAGTAAACTTTTGAAAAGTAAAGAGGTATAAAGTTTGGAAATAATTGGAACTCAACTAGACAGAAAGGCAATAAATTATAGATATAAAATTGCAAGGAAGGAAATAAATATATTCATGTTTAAAGGTGACATAGTAGTATTCTTGAAAACCCAGGATATTCCATTTAAATATATGATAAATTTAATATGCTAGAGGAAAGAAAATAGTTCACTGTTCCAGCCCAGATTTTTTCTGGTGGTGCTGGGGATTAGAACCCAGGGCCTTGTACATGCAAGGCAAGAATACTACCAACTGAGCTATATCCCCAGCCCCAGGTGTGATGTGTTTTGTTAGGCCATTTATGTGCACACATATTTCCTTTGCCCTCAGAAAAGTGTGAGTAGCATCTTAAACTTATGTCAAATAGAYGGAAAGCCCCAAGAGAATTTGAGAGAATATTTCAGATTCAAAGAGCAGCATGGATTTGCTTCTAGGTTGACCAGTCAATAACTAGGCTAAGATGGCCTCAGTAATAAGATATAGGAAGAAATAACTTTGGTAGTTTTAAAATTATCAGGAATTTTGTCCCAAAAATCTGAATAACATAGTAACACAGATATTTATAATACATATACAAGGAAAATAAGTTCTAATATGGAGAGAAAGCCAAATATCCTAACCAATCATGGGGAGATTAAAATCACAGAGATATTCCTGCCAAATTTAGGATAGACTATTTCATTCCTGATAACCTGCTTATGATCTCTAGTTGG